CCATTATTATCTCAAAAAGAAAACTCCTTACAATCAAAAAATATTTTCTGGCTTTAAATAACCTGTAAAGGGTTGGTAAACTGTAAAAAATTCCACTTCTTACTTATTAAATATTAAGGAAAAACATTTTGTTGAGGGTTCAAACATCCAACAGTATCAATAGAGGGTTAAAGAAGACAGAATCGAGATTTCTGTTTGTTTGTTAATTGTCTATAGCTACCCCCCCACCATCCACCAAAAAAAAAAAAAAAAAAAAAAAATCAAGAAACACTGGTTTCATTTTATGAAGCTACAGAACTAGCAATTCACATCTCTGCTAGAAAATCTTAATTTTCATGATTTTAATGTAAATGTACAACACAAAGAACTATTTCAAGTGCGAGGTAAGCTTAATTTATTTGGGAAAGATAGAGTAATCCAGAACTTATACTGGCAGCAAACTATCTGTATATGGATAGAAAATGAATTCAGTAAATACACAAAAATAAAAAGTGGCATAAGACAATAATGTGTTTTCTTACTGGATTTATTCAAACTTTACTGAGAGAATTAGAAGTCCTAACCAGAATCATTACTGGTGGCCATAATCTTAACATAAAAATATTTTCATGTCAACTCATCTGACAAGCTTTTTTTCCCCTTGATCTCTCAATTACGTGAATTACGTATGCTATTAGAGTGGCATCTAGGTCCCACCATTTTACTGTTGAATACTTCTACTCCAACAGTTTCTTTTCTCACACTACCCTCCTGTGGAACTCCCTTCTGTTTATTTTCTTCCATAATAAATACAATGCTCAAAAATTTAAATGCAACGTCAGTCGTCATTATTTACATTATTCAGACTATTGTCCTCATCTTTGTTTCTATATTTATCACAATGTTTTGGCCGTTGTATGTTCCGGTCTTCTTCAGGTGGTTGGAATGTCGAACTGAACCCTTTATTTCACTTACTGGGGTAGACAGTTCTAGTTCCACATGCCATGTCTAATGGTTATCAGTTATCTCCTGTTCATTCCCCTCTCCAAGTTCTCTACCGCCTTAACCAGGTATTGAACTCACACTCTTTGGGTCCTGTCACTGGATCTAATGTTAGTTAGATCCAGTGACAAGACGTTAACTGATGAAATAAAGGGTTCAGTTTGACATTCCAACCACCTGAAGAAGGCCGTAGTGTACAACAGCCGAAATGTTGTGATAAATATGGCAACAAAGATGAGGACAATAGTCGAATAATGTAAATAGTGTACATAATACCTCATCTCAGAAATATAGATGATAGTGAAGAATTGATAAATATGGCAACAAGGATGAGAGGACGATAGTCTAATAATGTAAATAGTGTACATAATACCTCATCTCAGAAATATAGACAGATAGTGAAGAATTGGATAAATATGGCAACAAGGATGAGGACGATAGTCCGAATAATGTAAATAGTGTACATAATACCTCATCTCAGAAATATAGACAGATAGTGAAGAATTGGATAAATATGGCAACAAGGATGAGGACGATAGTCCGAATAATGTAAATAGTAATACATAATACCTCATCTCAGAAATATAGACAGATAGTGAAGAATTGGATAAATATGGCAACAAGGATGAGGACGATAGTCGAATAATGTAAATAGTGTACATAATACCTCATCTCAGAAATATAGACAGATAGTGAAGAATTGATAAATATGGCAACAAGGATGAGGACGATAGTCCGAATAATGTAAATAGTGTACATAATACCTCATCTCAGAAATATAGACAGATAGTGAAGAATTGGATAAATATGGCAACAAGGATGAGGACGATAGTCCGAATAATGTAAATAGTGTACATAATACCTCATCTCAGAAATATAGACAGATAGTGAAAGATCGGATAAATATGGCAACAAGGATGAGGACGATAGTCCGAATAATGTAAATAGTGTACATAATACCTCATCTCAGAAATATAGACAGATAGTGAAAGATCGGATAAATATGGCAACAAAGATGAGGACGATAGTCCGAATAATGTAAATAGTGTACATAATACCTCATCTCAGAAATATAGACAGATAGTGAAGAATTGGATAATTATGGCAACAAGGATGAGGACGATAGTCCGAATAATGTAAATAGTGTACATAATACCTCATCTCAGAAATATAGACAGATAGTGAAGAATTGGATAAATATGGCAACAAGGATGAGGACGATAGTCCGAATAATGTAAATAGTGTACATAATACCTCATCTCAGAAATATAGACAGATAGTGAAGAATTGGATAAATATGGCAACAAGGATGAGGACGATAGTCCGAATAATGTAAATAGTGTACATAATACCTCATCTCAGAAATATAGACAGATAGTGAAGAATTGGATAAATATGGCAACAAGGATGAGGACGATAGTCCGAATAATGTAAATAGTGTACATAATAACCTCATCTCAGAAATATAGACAGATAGTGAAGAATTGGATAAATATGGCAACAAGGATGAGGACGATAGTCCGAATAATGTAAATAGTGTACATAATACCTCATCTCAGAAATATAGACAGATAGTGAAGAATTGGATAAATATGGCAACAAGGATGAGGACGATAGTCCGAATAATGTAAATAGTGTACATAATACCTCATCTCAGAAATATAGACAGATAGTGAAGAATTGGATAAATATGGCAACAAGGATGAGGACAATAGTCCGAATAATGTAAATAGTGTACATAATACCTCATCTCAGAAATATAGACAGATAGTGAAGAATTGGATAAATATGGCAACAAGGATGAGGACAATAGTCCGAATAATGTAAATAGTGTACATAATACCTCATCTCAGAAATATAGACAGATAGTGAAAGATCGGATAAATATGGCAACAAAGATGAGGACAATAGTCCGAATAATGTAAATAGTGTACATAATACCTCGTCTCAGAAATATAGACAGGTACTAAAGGGCCGAAACGTTGTAATAAATATGGCGACAATGATGAGGACAATAGTCCGAATAATGTACATAGTGTACATAATACCTCATCTCAGAAATATAGACAGTCATCATCTATCTTCTTGGATCGTTTTCAGCTATTATTCTTTCTGCAATCCACCCTATACCCTGTCTTTTCTCTCACCTCCACTCTCTGTAATCCCCTGTATACTAGTGACACTACCATCTTGTTTAGGGTGAAATGATTGAGAAAAATAAATAAATAAAATAGGCATATGTTGATAGCAGACAGAGAAAAACCTACAGAAATCCTTAGAAAAGGTTGTAAAAAATAGTAAGAAGAAAGGACTAAACATCACTTGTAAGATGATAGAATGCATGATTGTCAGTATCAAAATCAAACAAGCACAACAATTTGAATATCTAGAAAGTGTTTTAAAAAATCCAAAGGTGCATTGGAATAGCAAAAGATGCCTTCCAAAAGTTAAGCAAAGTATTAAGAAACAGGAAAATTTTGTTACAAACAAAGCAAAGAGTACTGAACTGTTACATATTATCGTTCCTTCTATATGACAGTGAATGTTGGAAAATCTCCTCACAGAGGAAGAAGCAACTTGTATTAACAGAAATTATGTTCTCCAGAAGGACACTGAGAATTGCATGAACAGAACATGCAAGTAATGAGGAAGTTTTAGAGAAATTGGAAACAAAAAGAAAAATTTTACAAAGAATCAGAGGGTGACGATTGAAATTTCTAGGGATCTTAATGAGGAAAGAGGGCTTGGAGAATCTGGCACTCACATATTGCAAATAAGAGGGACAGAGAAAAGTAGTGCATAACCTACCTAATGTGCTTGTATAATTGGCAAGTAAAACAGGGACTAGGAGAGATAGCAAAAAGAAAAAAAAACTTTACTAAGAGCCATAAACAGGAAGTTGTGGTGGGCAATGATCGCCAATGTTCTGAAGTGACACAGCATATAGAAAAAGAAGCTCAAAACAAATATAGACACAAATATATTTAGATTATGACTAATAGTTCCTACGACATCATTTCTGAGTAACGTTTTTTTTGTATCCTGAAGTTTAGTCTCTTATAATAGTTATCTTGTTTTTTGTTTTGTTTAGCATTTAACATTGACTTTTCATAAAACAGCTTTCTTGTTTGGTATCATGTGAAGTTCATTATTTCTCATGATAAAACTCTGTATCTTTGTGAATATTAACAGATGTCACCCTCAGATGCTGGACCACTTTCTTTGAAATACCAGTAGCCAAGAAGTTTTAAGCTTTTATAGGCTGATTTAGCATCTGCCATCAAAGAATTTTTTTTTTTCTTCCAGAATTGCTGTTGTCTTGGATTACAACAGAGATTTTTCTACTGTGGAGATAACAAAATATCTTCTCAAATTTGCTATCAACTCTTTAGAATATAAAGTAACAAGTTGGATAATGACTTATTTTTTACCGTATTGGCTTACAAGACCTATCATGACTCCTGGGTTTTATAAATACCAAAACAGGCACCATTAGAAGTAGAACAGTTACTTTGACCAATACCAAACCTGTTTTTTGTATACATATAACAGATTTCATTTGCTTATACAGTGTATGTCATTTAGGTTTTCTTTAAAAAAAAACATTCATATATTTAAACGAAAGAATATATAAACAGAAAAAAAAGACTTGAGATTAAACAGCATATTCAATGCACTTGTATTCCACCAAAATCTACAGAAATTCTGATCAGGAAAATAGTGTTTTACTATAAATTGAATAAAAATTCACTCAAAGAATACATTAAAATGCAATCATCTATGAATTCCTTGTGATTAATATGCAAACATGATTTTTCAGTTTAACACACATTCTTACTAAGCTGGTAGCAAACAACAGGAGTTAGGAAAAGTCTTAATATACAGAGCTGAAATTCATAAAATATCATTTAAAAAATGATAGCGTTTGAAGTAAAAAATAAAATAAAAATATCCAGCATTTGTGTAATTAATGGTGGCCATGTTCTGTCTCACTAATGGAGATTTGGTTGAAACAAAATCTATGTTTTAATAACAGTTTCATCAGCAAAATCTGTCAGAGATAGATATGAATGAGATATGAACAGAGATAGACAGACAGATAGATAGATATGAACATAAGTAGATAGGTAGACAGTTATGAAAATAAGTAGATAGATATGTCCATAGATAGATAGATACGAACACAGATAGATACAAAGATAGATAGATAGGTATGAACAAAAATAGATAGATAGATAGATACAAACATAGATAGATAGATAGATAGATACAAACATAAATAGATAGATAGATAGATAGATACAAACATAGATAGATAGATAGATAGATAGATACAAACATAAATAGATAGATAGATAGATACGTACAAAAATAGATAGATAGATATGAACAAAAATTAGATAGATAGATACGAACAAAAATAGATAAAGATGAACAGAGCTATGTAGACAGATGAACAGAGACACACAGATAAATAGATGTGAAAATATATATATATAGATAGATATGAATAGAAATAAAAAGATGATACTTTGCGGAATATAACTATTACAATTTAAAATTTTTTCCAGTTTAGGATCAACCAACATCTGTCCTACATATCCTCGTGATACACACTTCATATTTCCTCTTTTTTTATAACAATCCCACTCAGTAACTCTTTGGCCTTCTATTGGATGAGCTAAACTAATAAAAAAAAAAATAATAATAATTTCCTAGAGGTTTCACCCATGTATTTCTTGTAACATTTATGATAATCTATTCTGTAAATAGGCTTTAGGTTGTCATTCATTTACCACCAATTGTCCGCTATAAAGAGAATATACCCCAATGGTGGATATGCAAATATATGGCCATGCCCCACAGACTGGTTAGGATAACAAGAAAACATATGGCCATGACCGACTCGGATTTTTTGTTTTTAAGACCGACTCGGGATTTTTAGCTTTTAAGACCGACTCGGGATTTTTTAGGATTTTTTTTAAGACCGACTGGATTTTTAGCTTTTAAACCGACTCGGGACATTTTAAGACCGACTCGGGATTTTTTAGCTTTTAAGACCGACTCGGGATTTTTTAGCTTTTAAGACCGACTCGGGATTTTTTAGCTTTTAAGACCGCGGGATTTTTAGCTTTTAAGACCGACTCAGGGATTTTTAGCTTTTAAGACCGACTCGGATTTTTAGCTTTTAAGACCGACGGGATTTTTAGCTTTTAAGACCGACCGGGATTTTTAGCTTTTAAGACCGACTCGGGATTTTAGCTTTTAAGACCGACTTTTTTTTTAAGACCGACTCAGGATTTTTTTTTTAAGACCGACTCGGATTTTTTAAGACCGACTCGGGATTTTTTTTTTAAGACCGACTCAGGATTTTTTGCTTTTTAAGACCGACTCGGGATTTTAGCTTTTTTTTAAGACCGACTCGATTTTTAGCTTTAAGACCGACTCGATTTTTTTTAGCTTTTAAGACCGACTGGATTTTTTAGCTTTTTAAGACCGACTCGGGATTTTTTTAAGACCGACTCGGGATTTTTAGCTTTTAAGACCGACTCAGGATTTTTAGATTTTTAAGACCGACTCGATTTTTTTAGCTTTTAAGACCGACTCGATTTTTTTTAAGACTGCTCAGGATTTTTAAGACCGACTCGGATTTTTAGCTTTTAAGACCGACTCGATTTTTATTTTTAAGACCGACTCGGGATTTTTTTTAAGACCGACTGGGATTTTTAGCTTTAAGACCGGGATTTTTTTTTTAAGACCGACTCGGGATTTTTTAGCTTTTAAGACCGACTCGGGATTTTTTAGCTTTTAAGACCGACTCGGGATTTTTTAGCTTTTAAGACCGACTCGGGATTTTTTAGCTTTTAAGACCGACTCGGGATTTTTTAGCTTTTAAGACCGACTCGGGATTTTTTTTTTAAAGACCGACTAAGACCGGATTTTTTAGTTTTTAAGACCGACTCGGGATTTTTATTTTAAGACCGAGATTTTTTTTTTAAGACCGACTCGGGATTTTTTAGCTTTTTAAGACCGACTCGGGATTTTTTTTAAGACCGACTCGGGATTTTTTTTAAGACCGACTCGGGGACTTTTAAGACGGGATTTTTTTTAAGACCGACTCGGGATTTTTAGTTTTTTAAGACCGACGGGATTTTTCTTTTAAGACCGACTTGGATTTTTAGCTTTTAAGACCGACTCTTTAAGGCATTTTTTTTTAAGAGCGGGATTTTTTTTTAAGACCGACTCGGGATTTTTTTAAGACCGACTCGATTTTTTAAGAAATTTTTTTGCTTTAAGACCGACTCGGGATTTTAAGACCGACTCGGGATTTTTGCTTTAAGACCGACAGGATTTTTATTTTAAGAACTCAGGATTTTTTAAAACCGACTCGGGATTTTTAGCTTTTAAGACTGACTGGATTTTTAGCTTTTAAGAGACTCGGGATTTTTTTTTTAAGAACGATTTTTAGCTTTTAAGACCGACTCGGGATTTTTTTTGTTAAAATTTGAATAATTTTAATAATATTATGAATAAAAAAGTCAATTTTTAAAGAGTGTTTTTAAAAATTTAGAATTTAAAAAAAAAAAAAGACCCCAGAATGATGTCAAAATCTGTGAAAATCTGTCATCCCTTTAATAGTCAGTTTAATTTCTAGCATATATAAATGTAGGTAGAAAAACAATCAAATGTTTATAAAATAGCAAGAGTTTATTGTGCAAGGCCCCTAATCAGATTGCACCCCCATTTTCGGGGTAGTACACACTGGCCTTGGTTGCAAATTTTTTGCTTGGAATGCCACAGTCATTCTAAATTATGTACTACTTTAATTAGTTGCTGAAAAAGTTGGGGAAAAAAAAATAGACGAGTTTTATGAAATTAGTTCACAAGGCAATTGCTGGGCAGTTAAAAGTGAATAAATTTTACCGTAAAATGTAAAAAAACATCTTAATGATCATTTAATTAGAGAATCTTTTACTTACTAAAAACTAATAGTCATTACCTGAATATAAATACAGGTTGTGATAGATAAATTGTTGTCTAAATTATGCAAAAATAAAAATAGCACCGACATCTCATTATAACAGTTATATTTACCAAAATGACACAAAAATTGTCTTGAAATAATAAAGAGTAAATTTATTCAATAAAATCGCCATTAGCTTCAACCACATCCTCCAGACAACTTTGGAATCACCTGCAACTCTTCTGGATGGACTACTTGTTTAAGTTGGTGAATGCTGCCATAATCCTTACCTTCAGTTCATCTTTGGTGTTATAAAGAGTTTAGTTGGTCTCTCACTCAACTGTGCCCCACACAAAATAATTAAGAGAGTTGCAGTCAGTGGAGTTAGGTGGCCAGATGTAAGGGGTGATGTGGTCACAGAAATTTTCTGACAGCCATGACTGGCACTTTGAGCTTGTGTAGCATGGTGCAGAATCCTGTTGCCAGACATAGGGACTTACAGTAGCCATCTTCTTCACCCAAAGCAGCACTATCTCCTCAAGGCACTTGATGTAGGCCTTTGTGTTGAGTCTGAGGCTCTGTGGGAAGATGAATGGAGGCATAACATTGCCATCACTAGTGATCACTCCAAATACCTTCGTAATCACCATTAGATTCATCTAACTCTTTCCGAATCCTCTGCACTGTCCTCAAATTGACACCCAAACCCTTTGAAATGTTCACATTGGAGCTCCTGGCACAAATGCCAAGCAGTACAGCATGTCGTTTTCAAATTTCTGGCAGAGTGAATTTTGTCATGGTGCTCTTTTTCTCACAAATGGTACCCAAGTGAACCTACTATACCGTGTTGCCGACAAAATCAAAAACAAACAATGCTCACATGTGAAATTAAAAATATAAAATGGTGACAATTTACCCATCGCACTCTGTACATTATTTTTGTTGTTATGATTATTATCTTCACCATAATAATCATCATCATCATCATCATCCAACGGTTATATTTCTTTTATGTGCTGTGTCTCTTCCAGAGTTTGGCAATCTACAATTTCCTGACCTTTATTGGTTGGTTGTTTTCATTTAGCTGCATATTAACACTTCTATGGGTTATTTAATGCCAAAATTTAAATTTTTTGTACACATTTGTTTTTTGTTTTTTTTTATAATAATATTATTTACTGTCTTCTAAATTCTTGTTCTTTTATTTGTCTCTTTCCTTAAAAGTGTTTTTTTTTCTCATATTCTCTAACACTCAGTAACCCTTTGCATGCCAGAAGAATCTGCTATGTTATTGATCCTGACCTGGCATCTCGGCTTCAGTCACTTTCCCACCACTGTAATATAGCTTGTCTGTACCTTTTCTATAAATATTTCCATGGTAATTGTTCTTATAAACTTTTCACTATCATACCTAGATTTTATGGATTTAAGTGCAGTACTAGATTGGCAGCAAGGTCTCATCATTTTACAGTTTAAATGGTTAGATGTAACCATAAGTTCTATGCTAACAGTTTCTTCTATCACACTTTTCACTTGCAGACCTCACTTCATCTCCTTGTTTTCCAGTCAAGTTTGATTTTCAAAAATTTAAATGCAATGTCAGTCGTTATCTTCTTAATTCCTGTTTTACATTACTATCTTATAGAAGCATTATTGCATTTCTTGGGGAAGTAATGATTAAAAAAAAAAAAAAACTTTTATTTTTTGAAAAATGTCTATGGCATTCTCAACATTGGATGCTTCAAGTCTTTTTCACATGCTCGGTATTTACTATGATATCAGAGACTTGACTTTACATTAGTCAGGCATGCTGTTTAGTTTTTAATGTTAGTTTTTCTTTAATAGGCAGTGAAAAATTGTTTTAAGAGAAAGAATTTATAAATTTCAACTGAAGGTAGAACTGGCTGCTTAGTCAATGAATGCCAAACGTTTCCTTATAAGGAAACAGATAACATTACAATTTCATTCAGTATTTTTTGCATATGTCTTCGAAATGAGGCTTAGTGATTGGTCAACTAGATTGTTTTGCAACTAGATTTAAGACCAAACAGCTTGTGCTTCTTGACACTTCCTTCCTGGCCCAATTTGATAGCTTGACAAAGAGGAACATTTCATAAATGCACTCTCGACATGGGTCAAAGATCAGCAAGATAAAGCCCTCAACTTTTTTTTTCTTTTTTAATCATTTCACTACAGGAATGCCACAAGTGCAGTGAGGGTTACAAGGAGTGAAAGTGAAAGAAGACTGAGAATAGGGAGGATTCAGGAAAGGACTAAAGATGAAAAGGGCTTCAAAATGACAGAAGATGGTGATTGATGTTGCATTTAAATTTTTGAAGAATTTCAGTGTCGGGGGGATATATATATATATATATATATATATATATATATATATATATATATATATATATGGTATAAAATGACACATAAAATATGTCTTGTCCACAGAATTGATCAGGGAATTTAACTATATATATGAAGAAATATAGTCTTAAGGTGTGCTATATTTATGGGATAAAGTGCTTAATATCAGAGATAGAGTGTGTGTAAATATAAAAGTGAACATAGAAGTCAATACTTAAAGGTGACAGTCTGTTTCATGCTAGATGCAATCCTCAGGCCATGAGTGCTGCTATTTATATATATATATATATATATATATATATATATATATATATATATATATATATGTCAGTGGTGCATTGTGGGTAGTCTATTTTGGCGGTTATTTTACCAGAAGTCATTTATTTGTTTATTTATTTGAGTTAAATTATTTTGATTGTTTTCATTTATTTTTTATTTCTTATCTTATATATATATTTATTTTTTTTAATCGGTGTTTTTATTAACATAGTAAAAATGTGTGTTTATGTTTATATTTATATATATATATATATTACACATGCACACACAGAACTGTGTCACAAAGCAGAAAACCCATTTTCTTTAATCATTTCACTACAAGCAAGGCGTGAATGCCTCTAGTGTGCATGGGTTACAAGCAGTGAAAATGAAAGAGAAAACTGAGAAGAAGGAGGATTGAGGAAAAGACAAAAGATGAATGAGGTTCAAGACGACAGAAGATGGTGATTGATGTTGCATTTAAATTTTTGAAGATTATAGATATCAAGGAAGCAAATTGAGCATGACCACTGTAATAATGCTTAACCTTACCCTAATTTTGGGATGAAGAAAAAGAAAATGGACATTCTATAATCATGTTTAAACCTCTCATTGATAAAGTAAGTACAAACCTTCCTTTCGTTGTTCCAAGTCAGCTTTTAAATGCTGAGTCTTTTGAACTATGCTCAGCCAAATGAAATTTAAGCGTTTTTGTTAGCATATATCAACATCTATGCAGTTGGGAAGAAAGCTTCACTGTAATTGAATAAACAAACAAACACTAAGCCTTTGTATGATCTATCCTGATTCACCTTTAGCATACAGCATCATTAATATTGCTTCCCTGTCCACTGCATTCTTTTTCAAGTCTTCTCAATTGCAGTAACCTTATTGTTAATTTCACGCAAAATTGTTTTTCGTTGCCATAGAAGGATATGACAACACAACTATGAAATTGCTGTAACCTATTGTTAATTTCACTCAAAATTGTTTTTCGTTGCCATAGAAGGATATGACAACACAACTATGAAATTGCAGTAACCTTGTTAATTTCACTCAAAGTTGTTTTCTGTTGCCATAGGATATAACAAAACAACTATGAATTTCAAACAAACTCAAATTCAAAGATCAGTCACCTTCAGTAGCAGAATAAACACTTTGTACAGCAAATGAAGTCACATCATTGAGTTATGTGCCATCTATGATACATGCTTAAGCGATCATGTATCTTTTGATACATGACTGACAAGGCAGATTTTTCCCCCATAGTAGGTTGCCATTTCTTTCTACAGTAGACCAGTTGCCATCCAATCCTATAGAACCTGGTCTGCTCTGGGGGAGAGAAGAAGAGAAATCATACCGTTTCCAAGAATATTAGCACATAAGTGGATGTAATGGATTTGACTGGAATTCAAACTTGGCTCTCCGATTCCTCAGTCTGAGCCGCTATCCATAACTTCAGCATGCCTCCTCATGAAGTCACATTCATAGTGATAAAGGGTAAGAGCCATGTTGCAAGTCTGAATTTTTAAAACGGATCAGAAGATTGATTTTACTGATAAAGAGGAATGCTGAATAATTTAAAGCTGCCAAAAGTAAAACAATGTAGAAAATTGGTAAAATTCTTCAGTAGGTACCGTTATGGAATTTAAAAGGTTGTAAGGTAGGTTAAGGTGGGTGAGTTTTCACTTGTTGCAATTAAAAAACATTCAAACACTTTAGTTTTAATCATGCGCTCTTTCTCATTTTTTATATATAAACTGTAGCAAAACAAAGTTCTTAATATCCATTATCAGTATGTCTGTTTTCCTTTTGGTCTAGAGTTAGGGCAAGTAGTTAGTTTTAATAGTCAAGCTCAAGTCAGCCTTGCACCGACTTTAGAAGGGACTGGAAACCCAATCCTAAACAGGAAACAAGGGTGAACCTCTACTCCTATTCAAAAATCAAACCGATGTTTCATTTCTGACTCCAAGACAGAATAAACACTTCTGAAGTAACCCTGAATCTACCATAAAAATTCAAGATGTGGAATTAGCAAATACTTAATCCTTCAAATAGTTATAATAAATTTAGTAGAGGAGATAAGAAAATTAAAGACAGACTAGGCTACACCAGAAGTAGTTTTCCCTAACACTGCAAACTGCAATGAAGCCAAAACATCAACTCAAAAACTCTAGTCATGTCCTTAAATAGCCTCATCAGATCAAGACATTCATATAGATGTCCTGCATGGCTCTAAAGAACTTTAGAAATATCTAAACTGTCAGCTGTATACAACCGCTTTCTAAGATCAATGATTATAAATGAAGTGACATTCGAAAATATTGTCAAAGATCATCTTTCTTTGAACATTGTGGACTGGGGCTACAGGATCACAAACAACTAGGCGAAGTAAGAGAAAACACATTATTTGAGGAGTACCAACAGCAAACAACTAAAATGGATATCATGGAACTCAAAGAGAAAAATAAAAACTGAAAATTTGAAATGGGAGTAATCAAAGAACTGTACCAAATAGCATCACTTGAGGAACAACAGCAGCAACAACTAAAATGGATATCATATGGAACTCAAAGAGAAAATAATGGTATAATCAAAATGTTGACATTCTCCACTGCTTCAAACAAAAGGTTAAAATGGAAACACTTGTCAATATTGGAAAGAACAATAACAGCCACTTGACTAAAAATTGTTTTAAGAGAAAGATTTTATAAATTTCAAATGAAAGCAGTACTGGCTGCTCACTCAATGAATGCCAAATGTTTATTGTAAGGAAATGGCTAACATTACTATTACCAAAAGTACTGATGACCCTCAGTTTCAAACCCTATATATGAGAGCTTTGAATTGGATAATGTTATATGAAGCTATTTTGTAAATAACCTGAAGTTATGAAACAAATGGAACAGCTAACAGTGATCATGATCGTGTTGGGAGATTTTAAGACTTATCAATCCCACACTGGGTCATTCAATAGCAAAATCAGTCTAAACATTTGCTTCATGGATAGGTAATTATTGGGCATTTATATTTCAGTCTTTTGGTAAAAAAAAAAAAAATGGTTACTTATATTCGAGTGCATAAGCATTTACTTGAATGGTGAACACTTTTAGGTGGAGTCTTTAAAAAACATAAATCTTGCTTTATGTATGTAAGTATATCATAATTCTAGTTTATCTGTTAGATTTAGATCAATGATTCCTAATGTGGGTGGGGGAGGCCACATTGGTGGGGCACGCACAAGATGTGCACCCTTTGGCTTACTCAACCAAAACAATAAGGGAGCAATTCAAGCATGAGTTATTAACAGTGAATTGTTTTCTAGTGAGCTCAAATTTCATTTTGCATTATTATTTCATGATTAAAATGATCAAAGTATATTACAGAATAAGCTTTCATTCAAATATTATATATATATATATATATATTTCTGACTTTCAGTTCTCTATTATATGTTATGAAACTATATATATTTAACTGTCTTTTTGGTTTTTTTAATTTTTCTCTTTCATGGACACCAATGTCTTTGGAGTCTTGTTTGGATACCAAACCTCTTAAGCTTCCTTCATGTGAATTGCAGTAAAATTTTGAATATGTAAGAATTAAATATTACAGGAATGGTGGTGGTGGGGGGGGGCACCAGAATTTTAGAAATACCAAAGTGAGGCATGGCCCAAAATCAGTTAGGAACCACTGATTTAGATGATAACATATATTCAGAAGTATTTCTATCTATAACACATTAATGTTAACCAGCAAAATATGGGATCGTAGGCATTAATGAGTTAAGATATATTAAATAAATTAAAAATTACTCTATATACTCGCATATCATGCTATTTTTGAAGACCTTATTTCGAAGCTAATTTTAAGGGGGTCACATCATATATGAGATATAAAATTAGTCTATGTACTGCCTGACCTGATTACACTGTTGACCAAATTATATATCCATTTACTATAGCCAAATTAACTTAAAAAATTAAATCTTCAAAGAGTGCATGATACGCAAGTATATATGGTACTTATGTTATGAAAAATATTACCTATTTAAATTGCTAATTATTTAACTTTTTCCAGCAACAAAAGATTGGTGGGGAGGTGGTGGTACCAAAATCCAAGATGTTATAAGTTTTAATACCATGGCATTATAGGTTAAAAATTGGGAAATTTCAATGTAAACAATCAAATAAAAAAGGCAAGCTTTGTTTCCTTGTGGAAGCGATTAGGCAAACCTGGATGGAAGGAAAGGTAACACCCTAATAAGCACTATACTGAGAAAAGCACAATAATATATTTGTAGCATTTTCAAGAACTGTCCTGACCACTACAATATCTAGACCTGGATTTGCATTACTGAAAAACAGCCAAAAAGTAGTAACATTTTTACTCCCTATAATGGGGAGTCAAAATAAGACCTAGTCTAGGATGTAATTTTCATTTTTAATTTCTGTCAAGATTTGCTACCTGTGTTTTAGTACTCAGGTACTAACTGATGTTTCAGAACCAAACAGATACCACCCATGAGCCATAGGTTCAATACCTTACTTGGTACGCCCAACCACTTGAGTATAATCTTATTTGCTTAAAGGATTTTCTCAAGTGGCCCAACTGTATGATTAATTCTTATAACATAGGCCGAGTGGATGTGAAGATACAAAAAATTAAAAATGCAGTTGGTGTTTCACTAAAATAGTTCCCAAAATATTTTAGTCCATGTGTACAAAAATACTAAAATTCCAAACAGGGCGGTGGTGCTGATGAAATCCTCTTACCTTCAAAAAGGCTGACGGTGTGCATCTGATGATGCCATTGGATCCATGATATGAAAAAATAAACTGGGGCAGAGTTATTGCATCATTTATAACAGAAAACAGCTGATAAAATATCCTGAATGTTCTACCTCTGAGATTCATGGGAATAAACTGGATGTGCTGCCTATGGATTAGAGTACCTGTCTTTGAACACATATAAAGTCAGTGGCAGGAAGAAAGCTGATTGCAGAAAGAATGGATTTGTTGCTATTGGCCTTATTTCTTGAACCATTGTTACCTATGGGTGATCTGTGATTAAGATCTAGCATCTTTTTGTGCCCTTACCAGGGTTATGGCTTTATATATGTGTGTGTGCGTGCATGCATCTTATTGGGCACCTCGAGATGGTGTAATGGTTAGCAAGCTTGTCTCACTAGAACAATTACAACTAAGTAGTTAGTTCGATCTTCACTGAGCGCCCCCTACTTTCGACCTTGTACCACATCTCAGCTATGTTTGAAAAGTCACTATATATATATGTCTGATTGAATAAATTGCAAACATTATGTTTGCTTATTTTTATCATAATACTTTCATAGTCACAAATATTTTTCTGTATATTACAATTGAAATATTGCTTTATTCAATTGTAATATATGGAAAAAATATTTGTGAATATGAAAGGATTGATAAAAATAAGCAAACATAATGTTTGTAATTTATTCAATCAGACATGCCTAAAAAAGAATTTGCTGCTTAAATACACACACACACATATATATATATATATATATATAAGCTTGTAAACAGTGACTATTACTGCTAATAATGCA